CTCTGATTGGTGGAGAGCGGACCAATGAGAGAGCAGCATCCCTGTCGCAGTTACAGTTTTCACCTTGGAGACAAACGCTTAAAACTCGTAAATTGAGTAAAATGCAAAGGAAGATAAGGATTGATATAATGAATGGCTAATTCAGTTTGAGATAAGTGTTCTGAATTGTCAAAATTCTTTCAGAGTTAAATGAAATTCGTTTGAATTGTCATGTTTGCGTCTCTCTCTCTATAACGTCCTCCTCCAAAAGAGTCGTCATGAAATATTGTTTGTTTACAGAGAAAAAAAAAACTTTCCAAACCCGACCATGTATTGGTTCTCATAATTAAAGGAAGCTCAAATAACACCCTGAGCTAGAAACATAGAACAAAGAAAAACAGAAGAATCTTTAATTTGTCTTTAGTATTTTAACTCTTACATTTCACAAAGAATAGTAATTTTTTAAAAATAATTATAATTGTGAAAGAATAACAGCTCCAACAGACAACAACAGCAGTGAGAGAGAGAAAGATAGAGAGAGAGAGAGAGAAAGAAAGAGAGAGAGAGTATGGGATAGAGATAGAAAAAATACAATAAAACTAAAAACAAAAACAAAAAAGAACAAGAAAAAACGCACAAAAAAAATCTCAACAATAACAAACCAAATATAAAGCAAAATAGCACTCTCCTCCCCTTCCTTCCCCTCGCCCATCAAAAAAAAAAGGAAAAAAAAGGCGTAAGATCACACACCTCCCCCCGCAGGCAAGACCAACGCCCAACCGAAGAAGACATGCGAGGAAGTGATTGCGAATTCAGGCGCCGTTTTTGCCCAGCTGGCGAAGGAGGCGAAGGGACCAGCTGCTCGGGTCCCTTCGGCTGCGACGGAGGGGCGGGGCCGTGGAGGGGGGGAGGGGGCTTCGGAGATGCAGTGGGGGGTGGAGGAGGGCGTGGAAGGGGGGTAGGAGGGAGGGGGGAGGGGTAAGAGGGAGGGAGAGGGGGAGGGTGTAGATAGGGGGTAGGAGGGAGGGGAGATAGGGGCGGGAGGGGGTAAGGGTGGGGATGGGGGGTGAGGGGCGTGGGTGTAGGAGGGGGGGAATGGGGATGGGGAGGGTGGAGGAGGACAGAAAGGGAGAAGAAGAGAGACGCAGATAGACAGAGGATAATTAAGAATAGAAGTGGATAGATGTAGATAGATAGATAAAAAAGAGAGAATCGGTCACTTTTTTACAATAAAGAATACAACATGATTAAAAATAGGAATAACAAACAAACAGAAAAAAAATCGACGCCATTTTTCCTAAAGACGGACACAGTAAGAGAAAGTTAGACCGTGATTTATAAAATTTCTTATGGTGACTTCACGACAATGTACAAGACAGGAGTGACGAAATATACGCTTGATATATTTTTTTCCTGGTATCGATTTGTTTTGAGAAGAGTCATTCATCTCTTACAACAAAAGAAAAACATGTGTTTGAGAAAGTGAGGGAACTCCCAAAAAGAAAGAAAAATGGTTTGAAATGAATGAACACCGAAGATCATAAAATTCTTTTAGAATCCCCCCAAGAAAAGAAAAAAAATCATCTACATTCAGCATTACACACTCAGGAAGCCCAGCAAGAACGCCAGATCATGTAGCACAAAACAATCTTAATGTACAGGTACGCACGACTAAGTTTCCTGGAGTCCCCCCCCTCCTACCTCCGCCCCACACCGTTCCAAAGGCATAGAAAACGGCGCCGTCATACCCCCCGCGCAGATACGGAATTCGAACGTGCGTGAAAAAAGGCGAATTTTACGATAGCATCTGCAGGAGGGTGAAATTGATCAGACTCAGAAAAATAAGGAAAGGGAGGGAAAGAAGGAGTAACTGTGAATCGCCGGGTGGGTGACAAAAGACTGATTCACGTGCGGTAGTTTAATGATTTTTTTTTTTTTTTAGAGAGAGAGAGGATCTGCAACGTCATTTTTACAGGGCTTTGGTAGAGCTTTTTGTTCGTGTTTGCCGCGATTTCCCGTATTTCGTGGGAGTGTCACGAAATACGGAAATACGAAATGCTGTCGGAAGGACGATTGAGTTATTTTAGCGATCGCCGAAGTCAGTTCAGGTTTCGATTTTAATGTGATTAGATGGTATAAAAATTCATAACCCGTATATCACGCGTACGAGAGAGAGGAAGGAGGGAGAGAGAGAGGGAGTTAAGGATGGAGAGAGAGAGAGAGAGAGAGAGAAAGAGAGAGGGAGAGAGTGAGAGAGCCAGACAGACAGATAGACAGACAGACAAACAAAAAGACAGGAAGATTGACAAAAAACAGAAACACAGACAGAGACAGACAGACGAACAGATTGACAGACAAGCAAACAGACAGAAAAAAAGAAGAAAAAAACATCCCAAAATTCCTCCCGCGAAAAAGTAGTTAACACATCCGCACAGCATGTAAACAAACCGAACTGGTCTCCTTAATACTCTAGAATTTTATTACGAGGGCGTCACCCACTACAAGAAAAAAAAAGAAAAAAGAAAAAAAAGAAAGAAAACAAAAAAAACTAGTCTATAGTGACTAGC